ACCTGCTCTTCACTCAGTTCGTGCGGGAGAATCCTGCAGCTCCTACTAGACTTTCCAAGTTTATGCAGGTGACGAACTATGCTGGACTGAGACACACCCAGCTCACTTGACAGCGTAGGTGTGGAGGTGGCAGGCGTCTGCAGTCATTCTCGTCTCCGTCACGAGCCACTGCAGAATCCACACTTGCTGGTCTGCCTGTACGTGGGTCGTCTTCAAGGCTTGTATCACCTTGGTCAAATTTCGAGTACCATTTATAGGCTTGGGCCTTCGAGATGACATCGGAACCTTCTACTTCACATATTTTTTTCGGCTGCCTTCTTTGCATTTACGCTGTTTGCAGTAATGGCTTAGAATCGCTCTGATGGCAACTTTTTTGGTATTCATTTTAAAGTCGCTAATTAGTCCAGCATCTTACATGGAGAGGTGAGGACACCACCTATCTGTAGACAAGATGCACCTTCAAATAATGATATAAAGCAATCCCAAGCGAAAAGGATTTTACAGGAAAAACATGTTTGGAAGCAAGGCCTGCGAAAAGTTCTCATTACTTTTGACTCACCCTAGTAAAACTCAGCGGAACGAATCTTATTAATTAAACTTTGTTATAACTGTAGCGAAAAAAGTAGGTCGATCCAGGAAGTAACCGCCGAGGACCAGAATTTTGAATAACAAAATAGCGAAAATCATGAGAAATTTTTACCGTTATAAATCTGGTGTTTGAGCATGTCAGCAATTGCGACTTTATAGGTTTTGAAGAGTAAGTTGTGCTCTATTAGATAGTGAAAGAATCAAGTCGATTTGAGAGATGTTCGCCGAAAACCTGAACTCTAAACTATTACGCATTCTAGCTTGTTTTTATGATTGCTGACAGTTAAACTCATATAAATAATGAATGTGAAGGTGTGTGAAGTTGCGACTTCATAGGTTTTGTAGAGTAAGGATTGCCTTATCAGATACATCTTAGCCGTACCGATCCGTTCAGACACCGCCGAAAGCCAAACTCTTGAAAAAGCAGGACAAAGCGCTTTTCAAAGTTCAACAGCTCATAACTTCTTCAGAATTGCATGAATCATGTTGCAACTTCATAGTTCGGTGGGGGGTTCGGTGCCTTCTACGTATGCTCGAGGGGAAGACTTTTCGTCACTAATTCTCCCCGCACCCACTTCAACTCTGACAGGCATACCTTCGGAGCAGAAATAGCAGGGCCGCGGGGTCTGCCCAGCGGAGGTTTGCCACTCGTGGTCCGAAGCCCTTCCATTTTGTGCTCCGAATGTTCCCCGCCGCATACTTAACTAGTCCTAATTAAACTCCAAACCCCAATTATGCCCATAAACCCCACCCAAACTAGCTCTTGACCAGGGTCGAGCAAACGGTGTGGCATACGAGCGCCTGATACGACATTCCCCCCCCCCCCCCCGGGTAGAAATTGAGCACGACCCTCCACTTCGTCCTCCACCCCCTCCCTCTCACCCCCAGCGTTTGTAGATAGTAAGATAGAAAAATGAAGACAAGACGGGACATTTATTTCAAACTAGCATATACATACTTAATACATTGTATAGAGAAAATGAGTTTCTACGATGAAATTCTATTGAGTAAAATATGCATACTCAAAGATTTTCTCATCATTGCTTTGTTCGGCCTCGCATCCAGCTCGTCCGTGGTTTCCTCATTTCCTCTTCTTCACTTCCCTCAACATCAACTTCATCTCGAAGCGTAGCTGCCCGCGAAAGAGACACGATGCTTCTGCCTGATCATCGAGAAAGTGGGCATGGGTCGATTTGAAGCCGCCTTAACCCATAAAATTGATTCTGCAAATCTGCAAGATCTAAAAATGAACAAAAATCCTACTTTGAGCGAAGGACACCCATCCGGTATCTGAGAGTTCAGTTGGCCGATCTCTTTTAAAAGATTTAGCTTGGAGGAGAATATATTTGGTGACATTTTTATATGTTCTCTGGTCATGAAACCTGGGCATTGTCTTGTATTCATAAACTTTCTTGTGAGCCACGCAGGTTTGTTAAGATATTTATTAGGTCTAACGTTTCGGCAATAATGCCTTCCTCAGAGACCTGAAAGAAAGTCTCACACTAGTTTTTGCCCTATATGATCAAATCTCTCCTCTTGACTAGCTTAGTTCGACGCCCTAGGAGCAAACAAGCGGAGACATTACACGACAAGTAGCATACCAAGATCTCCACCGACAGCGCAACGACGACGTTCAAACTCCACTGGTGGTAAAAGACTATAGCTGACCGATATGGACAGCTTAAATAGTAGTGGAGATGATATCTATAAGTGACAATATGACAGAAATGGCATCAAATCACTTGTGATGGAGAGCTGTTCATTCTTCCCGTTCAGTTTCGGTTCGCGCGAGAGAATGTATGCCGCTTCAAGCGCTTTGCGAGCAGCAATTTTTGACTCATAACCTAAGATGATGCACCTGATATCGAAGTCGTCGCCGTGATGATCTACTTTCCTGTGTTTCCCTAGCGGACTGGCCATGCTTTCCCGCCTCTTACTCGCCAAGTGTTCATTAACACGCACGCTGAGTTGCCGACCAGTTTCCCCTATGTAGGTAGCGTAGTACTCTGCGTTGATACCACTGCTTACAATCCCAAACTTAGCACAGTCTCCCATTTTTCCGTTAGGGCAAATGACGCAATCCTTCGTAATACAAGCTGTATCGTATAACGATTACGCACTAGTTGTCGCTTAATGTTGCTTCGAGGGATATTTACAAGAAGAACATCTTGCTCCAACTGGGCTTGTACTATACACGTTTGAAATGCGTGCTTTACTCTATCGGAAATAAATGGTAAACATAATGGAATCACTGGCACCAGTTTGGCGATTTTCAGCATTTGCTGTAAACGTTCTGGAATGTCTGGGTTTTGATGAGAAGTAGCCATTGAGGCTGCTATCTCATTTGCCAGCTCGAGGGACTCCTGTCGTTCACTCTCCCCATTGCAGACTTCGATTGCCGTTTTATACATGTTCCGCAATACTGCTCGCTTAACGGCGACCGGATGGGCCGATTTCGCGTGTAAAATGATGTTCTTGCAGCTTTCTTTGCGATACCATTTCACTCGTATCGTACCGTTATCTAGCATTAGCTGTGTATTCAGGTAGGGGAGCCAACCGTTTCGGGGTGTTTCTCTGGTAAAAACTTATGTACTCTGATTGTTGATTCAAAATCTTGAAACACTCGTCCATTTCGGACTGTGTTGATGTTATAATGCAACAATCGTCAATATATCGACAGTACATAAGTGGGCATCGTGATAAATGGTCAGGCACTTACTATTCACAGTTGAGGGGGTTGGCAATGGGCCAAAGGCTAGCACCTACGCTTGCCATCTGTTTTATGAGCAGAATAGAAAGACCGGTGCTATCACGATGCCCACTTATGTACTGTCGATATATTGACGATTGTTGCATTATAACATCAACACAGTCCGAAATGGACGAGTGTTTCAAGATTTTGAATCAACAATCAGAGTACATAAGTTTTACCAGAGAAACACCCCGAAACGGTTGGCTCCCCTACCTGAATACACAGCTAATGCTAGATAACGGTACGATACGAGTGAAATGGTATCGCAAAGAAAGCTGCAAGAACATCATTTTACACGCGAAATCGGCCCATCCGGTCGCCGTTAAGCGAGCAGTATTGCGGAACATGTATAAAACGGCAATCGAAGTCTGCAATGGGGAGAGTGAACGACAGGAGTCCCTCGAGCTGGCAAATGAGATAGCAGCCTCCAATGGCTACTTCTCATCAAAACCCAGACATTCCAGAACGTTTACAGCAAATGCTGAAAATCGCCAAACTGGTGCCAGGATTCCATTATGTTTACCATTTATTTCCGATAGAGTAAAGCACGCATTTCAAACGTGTATAGTACAAGCCCAGTTGGAGCAAGATGTTCTTCTTGTAAATATCCCTCGAAGCAACATTAAGCGACAACTAGTGCGTAATCGTTTATACGATGCAGCTTGTATTACGAAGGATTGCGTCATTTGCCCTAACGGAAAAATGGGAGACTGTGCTAAGTTTGGGATTGTCTACGAGATTGAATGTCTGGCATGCCACGCTACCTACATAGGGGAAACTGGTCGGCAACTCAGCGTGCGTGTTAATGAACACTTGGCGAGTAAGAGGCGGGAAAGCATGGCCAGTCCGCTAGGGAAACACAGGAAAGTAGATCATCACGGCGACGACTTCGATATCAGGTGCATCATCTTAGGTTATGAGTCAAAAATTGCTGCTCGCAAAGCGCTTGAAGCGGCATACATTCTCTCGCGCGAACCGAAACTGAACGGGAAGAATGAACAGCTCTCCATCACAAGTGATTTGATGCCATTTCTGTCATATTGTCACTTATAGATATCATCTCCACTACTATTTAAGCTGTCCATATCGGTCAGCTATAGTCTTTTACCACCAGTGGAGTTTGAACGTCGTCGTTGCGCTGTCGGTGGAGATCTTGGTATGCTACTTGTCGTGTAATGTCTCCGCTTGTTTGCTCCTAGGGCGTCGAACTAAGCTAGTCAAGAGGAGAGATTTGATCATATAGGGCAAAAACTAGTGTGAGACTTTCTTTCAGGTCTCTGAGGAAGGCATTATTGCCGAAACGTTAGACCTAATAAATATCTTAACAAACCTGCGTGGCTCACAAGAAAGTTTATGAATATTTGGTGACATTTGGCATCAAACAGCAGCACTTTCGTTTGGCACAGCTAAATCCACATATGCAGTCAATCAATTTTCACAGAAACTTAAGAAACTCAAATCTTTTGGTCGGTTCAGTCTGCTAAAGTACACTGAAATAAAAACGAATATAAGAGAAAAGAAATGAAAACAGTACTCGGCACTTACGAAAAATTAGCCTAGATTCAAGAATCTCTGCATCATCAAGCATCAGTGAGGATTTTGTGATGTAGCAGACACTCAAGAAGAGCGTTCAGCGCAGCCAAAAAATCACCGGCAAATGTCAAACCTAAGATGAATGCTTATTACTCGTAGGCAAATTAGCAGTGCTGTATACCTGCGCCAATTCCATGAGTGCTTGACCTTTCTTCTTTAAAGGAGCAAAGTTGACTAATCTTTGCGCATTTTTCAATGGTGATTCCCACACGAGAAGTCTATGCGGGCCAGTAGAAGGTGATATTCGAGCTCGGTATCTTGGTTCCTTCTAGATTCAAAAGTCATGAATTCTCAAAAAAAAGACAAAAGGTGAAAATAGTGATAAGAAATAGAATTTGTACAAATACAGGGTGTCCCAGAATAATGTATCGAACGTTTAATCGTTAATATCTTTCTTCCCAACAAGTCTTTTGCCTTGCTTCAGGTACCGTTCTGTAGAGCTGGCTTCAACTTAGATTTGCATTATAGAACGAATCACTCATCCCTCTTCATTACTGTATGAATACGGTAGAAACTCCAAAGAGGGTTTTAAGCAATGAAAGGCCATATTTTGCCCCAGAAAGGAAACAAAACAGCCTGAAAACTTTTGCACTAGGCTAATTAGAGTTGGTGATTATAACTGTAAAGTTACCAATTTATTATGATGCTTCATTGAAGAGTTATGTCACTTAAGAGTAGCGGCCATTTTTTCATTGTTCCTTAAAAGTGCGGTTACACCCTTTAGAAAGCTTCGTAATCTTGTGAATAGTTGAGTATTGAACTCAGCGTCCATAAAAACCCCAATACACAAGTTTTCACATTTTTTTGAAAAATTTTGAAACGGCAGCTTTTTCCACATTGACACAATATGTTACAAGTTTCTACCGTAATCCTACAGCAATGAAGAGAGGTGGGTGATTCGTTCTATAATGCAAATCTAAGTTGAAGCCAGTTCTACAAAACGGTACCTGAAGCAAAGCAAAAGACTTCTTGGGAAGAGAGATATTAACGATCAAACGTTCGATACATTTTTTTGGGACACCCCGTATGTACAGTGACGCAAACAGAGCTACAAGTTTACTTTGCGCAGGCATATGCCGCATTCCAATACTTTTCGGCTTCAAAGCGACGTTAAAGATTTGCGCATATACCGGAGCAAACCTTTCCTTTATAACCCACTGAGTCGATGCTTGCAAAAGCAATCAAGATCAACAGTCCGGCCTTTCTTCTTGCAGAGTCTCCAGCAACCCTCACTGCCTTTCTACCGCAATCAATCCTATGGCCAACTTTCCTGATATAGTCATACTTTTCAGACGCCAAGATAAAGCCTAGAAGAATGAAAGGAGGTAATTTGACCCAAAAAAGACCTCACCCATTTGCGGATTTAGAGAGAGTTCCGCCATCAGAAAAAGCAACTCTTACAGTACCATCATCGTTTATAGCGGCAAGATAATTGAGTAGTTCTACAGTTCTCATAAGGGTTTCTGGAGCTGGAGGATCCATGAAATCAAAACGTACGAGATTTTCAACCTAGCTTCTTGAGCTGCAAAACCACCAATCCTAGATTTGAACTGGAATACGATAAGCAAAGAAAAACACATGTACGATTGGAGGGGGTCACCGAAGTACCTCCGGGTACGTCTGTTCCTGCATCTCTTCTTGATAAGCTTTCTCCGTATATAACCGCAAACACTTTCCTAAAATGCAAAGTTTCCCAATGTGAGAACGATTAGAAAAAGCTAACCAGGCTTAGTACAACCAGTGCGACCAGCCTGTTGCATAGCACTAGCTTTAGATATCGGACATAGTAATAGTGACTCAACACGAATCCTCGGATTATAAACTTTTTATTTCGAAGATCCGATATCTATCACAAAAACCACTCCATCAATAATCATCCTACTATAATAACGCGCTAAGAGTGTTTACGTTTTTTTGTGTGTGTGTGTGTCTGAATGTCTGTCTGTCACGAAATTCGTAGAGCGTGTTCCAGCCAACGTCCTGGGCTCAAATTTTGCATAGCACTTGCTACTGGCATGAAAGTCCAACATGCAAAAGCACAAGCAGATTCGTTGAGTGGATCTCTTGAAAATTGCGCGTCAAACGGATCCACTCGGCTTCTGACCAGCAAAACTGGGTCCGTAAATCCACTTTTTGCAGAGTGGTGGGTGTTTACGGCAAGTAAATGTGCAAGCCATGAACTTAGGCCCAAATAAGTGACCAAAAGTCCATTACTTTACAAAAACGGCGCCAAAAAGTATTGCTTGCGTAATTGGTCAATTTGCCAAGGTTCTAGAAAAGCATATGAGAAGATTTTCGCACAGAGATGTAGCTGACAGTGACTATTGCCTTTATGGCGACTATCAAACCATGACAAATACAAAAACCTGTTCAGATTTGCCTTTATCTTCCTGCGAAAACTTTTTTCCATGCGAAATCACCGATCTCACATGAAAAAGCTTTCTAAATTAGTAGCTGTTTACATTTCATTCGTGGTAGTCGGCATAGCACGGTGAGTTTCAATGTCACTATTATGCGGGAATGGGTAAGGCAGGCGCTATACTCTTCGAGGAGTATAGCGTGGCGAAGGGCGATCGCCGCGATTTTTGTCGCCATATTGGCGATCGCCAGTCGTAGCGATCGCCAATATGGCGACAAAAATCGCCAGCACGTATTTGATGCATATCGATCGTCGCCATGCTATACTCCTCGAGAAGAATAGTGCCTAAGGCATACAGAAAGTAGGGGCCAGTGCGAGCCTCTGCGAAGCAGAGGTGACGCACTGGTAACTTATAATAACGGGCTAAGGATGTTTACGTGTTTTTGTGTGTCTGTGTGTAAGTTTGTCTGTCTGTCACGAAATTTGTAGAACGTGTTCCAGCCAACCTCCTGAGCCCAAATTTTACACAGCGCCTGCTACCAACATGAGAGTCTACTATACAAAAGCACGAGCGGATCCGTTGTGTGGATCCCTCAAAAAATGCGCGTCAGCCGGATCCACTTGGCTTTTGGCCAGTAAAATTGAGTCTGTACCGCAACTTTTTGCAAATTCACGGATATGTTTGACAAGTTAATGTGCAGCCCATGGTCTTTAATTTGAAAAATTGAACTAAAGTTTATTACTTTGCGAAAACGGTGCCAAAAAGAATTGATTGCGTAAATGTTCAACTTGCCAAGATTTTACCTGATCGTTTGAGAAGATTTTTGCACAGATATGTAGCCCACAGCGATTGTGACATCTTATCGCGAATATCAAGCCATGAAAAGTCCAAAAACCGATTCAAATTTGCATTTGTTCTTTCGAGAAAAGTTTCGTTCATGCGGAATTACCGATCTCATTTGGAAAAGCTTTTGGAATGAATAGTTGTTTACAAATCATTCGTGATAGTCCGCATAGCTCGGTGAGTTCCAATGTCATTATTGTGCGAGAATGAGTAAGGCATATGTACAGATAGTAGGGCCAGTGCGAGCCTCTGCGAAGCAGAGGTGACGCACTGGTGAACGATATCTCAGCAAGTCGAAAAGAGGCAAACACTAAAAGTGACTGAGTGCATCCGCACGAAAACCTAAAACTTGAAACCTGAAAAGAAGGAACTGAACAAATAAACGCCAACGCGCCTACGAGCAACACGAAAAATCAAAAAAAAAAAGAAAAACGAGCGCTAAAGAACGTCAAAAAAGAGTAAGTCGAAAGCGCCGCAGCTTATTTTCGAAAATGCCAAGCTGCGTATGACAACAAATTGGCTGCGTACCTATTGTGCTCCGGAAGTGTCCCAAATCTGGCCTGCCTCCGGAGCAGAGATTTGCAAGCCCGCGGAAGGGGTCCCATCTCCGGAGCTATAACACCGATTGTCTGAGAATGTATTGCCTGGAGGCCGCCAGGGGAGAATTACTGATGAAAAGTCCCCCCCCCCAAGCATAAGCGCAACAGGCACAAAATCCCCGCATATTATAAATCTTCTGAAAGCTCTTGATGAGAAGAATCTAACCTATGAAATCGCGATTGCTGACATCTTTATACATCAGATTTGTAACAGTGGAATTTTCGCAAGATTTTTCACTATTTAATTATTCAAAATTTGGTCTTGGCGGTTACTCCCTGGATCGATCTATTTTCTTCGCTGTACGTTTATATCAAAATTTACTTACTAATAAAGTCCGTACAGTTCCGCAGAGTTTTATACTTCCAAATACACCAATTGATAAGCACGTTTATTTTAGATATAGATGCCGCTGTATACATAAAAATATGCTCTCAATAATCTCTTTTGCATTTCTTTTGGTTATTTTCCGCGCACTGGCGGCAACGACCTGGAAGGATAGGCTCAGTCGACGTTAACGCTCCCCCCCCCCCCCAACGTCGAGTTTTTGGGAGATGAGTGACCGGCACCACCTTCACTTTTGGCGTTCAGTGGTAGTTGGGACCACCTTCACTCAGAGGTACTCGGCTCCCCCCATCGTACCTCTGGCCGTGACATCTTGAAAAGCTCGCGTGAGTCAATGCGCCTGGCAGGGGCCAGGCCTGTCTTGAATAAGCGTCCGTGAGCTCACTGTGGACGTACCGAGTTTAGGAACTCAGCGAAGCGCTTGACATGCTAAGCCTTCTGGTCTCTGATCATTGCTGCAAGTACATTGCGCTATAACCAACGTTACTGAAGAAATCATACTCAAACTGACAGGATGATTGTAGAAAATTTTGCCAGTTATTGACCTCGTTAAAAACATCAGTAACAGTTTGGTTCTCTATGATGGACGATTTCATTTGTTTAGGATTGGTCATATAAGACGGTCATGGATTGGCGGACACTTTTGGTCGTCTGCTACTCACTACCATTGTATTCATGCGAAGAATGGAAGATCGTCGGTTCGCTTCCAAATGGAGTAAGTATCTTTCATGATCTTCATCATACAGCTTTACGCGACTACTGACAAAAGAATGGTCAGAAGGTTCGTACAATTTAAAATAGCTGTATTATCGAACTCGCTGAAACACTAATTTCGAATATGTGTTTACTATCTCGCGACTATCCGGAGAGAATTATGAAAGTTTATGCATTTGCCAAGTACGCTGTAACGCATCACAGTAATCGCTTCAAAACCCGACTTAGGTTTTCATTTGGATGTGCCTGCTTCTGTTATCGGATTACTCATAACCCTGTAACTGCGCGGTTTCATGCTTACTTTTACCAAACTCTATTTAATGGAAATTGGACAAGATTTTATATCCTGACGCCGATACTTACTTACTTAATTACTTAGATGACCCGTCCTCGCTCGTCGCGTGGGCCCCAACTTTTGACCATTCGTTGCGGTCTCGGGCATCGTCATCCATGAACGTCTTGGTACGTGTCTGCGATTGCTGGTTGGTCCTGAATTAGACTCCAACTGCTGACGCAGCTGGTTTACGCGGTCAAAAAATACGTCGCATCGTCTCTTCGGTGGTCTACCACGTGCACGTTTAGAAGCTCTTGGAATCCATTCCAGTGTTCTTTTGTCCATCTGTCGTCTTCTCTCCTCATTACATGTCCGGCCTATCTATGTTTGTTCTTCGATACATACTCTGCTGGACCTTGTAGACGCGAAATTTGCCTAAGCTCAAAGCTCCGAATCACGAGTGTATACTGTTTAAACTTTGTTATCTTCAGAAGCTTCCTCTCAAGCGCCCTGTGTGTTGTTTGTAGCGCCTTCGTAGTTGCTGAAGTGGCAGCCCAGGTTTTGGCTGCGCAACACAGAGCTGGAAGAACTGTAGCATCGAAAAGGTGAGTACGTATGTCCGGGTCAGCAATATGGTCTGTGGCCTCTCTCAATGGTCCGAATGCTGCCTATGCCGCTCTCAGTACTCCTCTAAGTTCGTCCTTCATATAGTTGTTCATGTTGATTGTGCGCCCTAGGGGTAAATGTAGAATGTGGTCTCCTCTACCGGTGCTCCATGCAAGTGTAATTGGACTTCGCCGCACCAGTTGTTCCTCGTGAACTGCGTCTTCATCCGATTAATTCTGAGCCCTATCCTTCTCCCGCTTTCATTTAGCTCGTTCAACATCTCTTCGGCTTCGCTAACGTATTTCGAGAATAGAACGATATCGTCTGCGAAACGCAGATTCGAAAGGCATCGTCCATTCACTCGTATCCCTTTTTCAACCCAATCGAGTGACTGCATACACAATTGCAGTGCTGCAGTAAACAGCTTTGGCGACAAGGTGTCGCCTTGATGGACTCCTTTTCCAATATGGATGTGAAGCGGTTGGTCGAACAGCTGTATCGTTGTGGTGCATTCTGTATTGCAGTTCGCTATTGTTCTTATGTAGGTGGGGTCCACCCTTGGTCGATCAAAGCTCTTAGAACGGGGTTTATTTCCACATTGTCGAAAGCATTTTCGTAGTCGACAAAGGTGCGAACCAGGGGCAGTTTGTATTCCCGACAGACCTCCACGACCCTTATGACGGCTTGAATGTGATCAATGCAGCTGAATCCTCTACGGAATCCAGCCTGTTCAGATGATTGTGCTTCATCCAACGTCGTCGAGATACGCGACATGATGATCTTTGTGAATAGCTTGTGAAGCACGCTTACCAAGTTGATTGGTCGGTAATTGTTCAGGCCTTCTCTCCCGCCTTTCTTGTGTAGGAGAATCGTGCGGGAAGTCTTCCACTGGTTGGGTATCCTTTCCTTCTTTGAGTAATCTGTCATATGAGTTGCCAGTAGACTGTGCAGCTTGTGACCGCCGGCTCTCAGCAAATTAGCGGTGATTCCATCCGGACCAGGAGCTGTGACTGGTTTCATG